TTTTTTTTTTTTGCTTGGGGCGGCAAAAATGCTAGAGCCGGCCCTGATCAGGAACACCCCACATCAGCTTAGTTGCTGTCCCCTTTATCCTGAGTTAGTGTGAGGGCTGTGAGTGCATGAAACTGACTCAGATACTGTGATGATGGATGCATAAGAAATAGAGTAACTGTTCACTTGGAGAGAGCTGGACAGGTGAGGCAAAAACCATCCAGATCTCTGAGACATCCTCTCCTTCCCCGCTGCCGTTTTTCTCATCTCTCATTGCATAGTGTGAAGGGGCAGGAGAGACTAGGGAAGTGCATAGTTGCTGCTTCTTACATAAAGGGTCAAATCCTCAGTTGGTCTAAAGCAGCACAGCTCCAAGGATCTTGCAGATAATGTTGGAGTACATCAATAATTCATCCTATGAAATGGGGAAATTGCATGAGGTTGGATAGGAGCAGGTTACATTACTTTTATTAGAGCATAAATATTTCACTTGAATTTGCTAATTATTTTTCCTACTCTGCTGTGCTCTTGTGAAAAGTTAAACCCATTTCCACTTCCCAAAGCCATGATAGAGGAAAAAGGACTATGTTCTCAATTATGGACTGCACAGCTCTTCTAACTTTAGACTTTCTCATGACACAGATGGGGGTAGGCAAAATATTAATCTTAAAAGCACTTTACAGACACTAATCCTTCACATCCTTGTGAGGTAGATGGCTATTATCTGCATTTCACAGATAAGGAAATTGAAACAGAGGTGTTGCGTGCCTTGCTCAAATCCATAGAAAAGGTCTACTTCAAAGCATTCGTTAAAATTCAGGAGTTCCTGACTCTCAGGCTTTGTCTACACTAACACTTTTGTTAGTCAAGGGTGTGATAAAAACACACCCCTGACTGATACAAGTTTCATCTGCAAAAGCGCTGGTGTGGACATCCTTATATTGGTGGGAGAGCATCTCCTGCTGACATAGCTACTGCTGCTTGCTGGGGATGGTTCAGTAATGCTGGTGGGAACGAGCTCTCCCGCCGGCATAGAGTGGCTGCACAGGAGACCCTGTAGGGTCCGTAGCATAGACTTAGCCTTAGATGCTAAATCAGATCACTAGACCATGCTTCATGCTGGCTTGAAACTATCAGATCTTGTGACTTCTAAGAATGACTTCAAACAAAATAACTTCTGAATTCTTGCCTCTTTTTTGTTTGGCTGGCCCTAATGATGTTGGGAGTTGATAGTACAAAAGTACTGCCAATTGTTTGCCAAATAAGTGTAAAGTGTTTCTGCTGCTATGTTGACAATCTAGAAGAGATGTGTGGGTATGGAAACACTTGCTGCTTAAAGTATGGTTTGCTTTAATGAATCAGAAGGAATAATCTAAAATATAAAATCAAATTAACTGAATTTTAGTTAAACTCTCAATTATCCCAGTCACTGAATATCCAAAGACTTTGATTGTCTCCTGAGATCTTTGCATAATATGCCTTTACTTGTGTCGCTAAATTTATATTTCAATCTGCTTGACGATGCCAGTCTTTATTAATCCATTAGTCCAATTTTCCCTCTAGCACCTTCATGTTTTCACATTATATCCAAAAACAGCTGAGTCTAGAACTCTAAATTTGTCCTATATATTTGTCATTGAGGACTAATACCTTGGAACAACATGGATCACATAACATCCCTGTAGCAACTACAGCAATTCCTTGTATTGGGAAATATTCACTGTAGTTTTTAACATCTTTTTACATAACTTAGCAGCTAGGCAATAGCTCATTGTGTATGTCTGGCCATTATGTCCAAAGACAGGACTTCCTATTACTCCTTGGTCCTACCTCACATTTTTGTAGAAATCTGCCTGGCTTATATCTAGGTCAGTGATGCTTTTATTTATTTATTTAAAAAATCAAACTGGGATGGCATGGCTTTATACATATGTGGGAGGGTAAGGAGACTTCCCCCCCTCCCCAAACTACATTAAGAATACTTAAATGATTATCAGAAGAAATAGAAATAACACTTCAGATATTTAGGGTTTTATTATTATTATTATTATTTTTATTATTAAGATAGGTGTGGGGGAGGGGGGAAGAAAGGGGAGAGGAATTCAAGATAGCCCAAGTATGGAAAGTTTCATCTGAAAAAAACCCTTGTTTGCTGGAAGTGATGAGCTATTGCAAAGAGAAATTATAAAGAAAGCTGGAAAGCTGCTTTGAATGTAGTGGGCACTACATTATGTACTATATAAGCAACTGAGGTAAAAGGCTGTACAAGGGTAAAAGCAATTATGGGAGTTATGAGAGCAAAGCCAGAATGCTTGTAATTTCGTGAAAAAATTGTACATTTTTATACATAACTTTCCTGTGCAGGGATTTTTATATTTAAAAGAAAAAATAGTTGGATTACTTCTACCTTTACAATAAAGTGGGGAAATGAATACTTACACTTGCTTTTTCTAGCAAAAATGTTTCATGTAATATTAGGTTTCCTGGAAGACATGAAGAGGGAATCCATAGGGGGGAAAA